TTTTCTTTACATAAAACTCTCATATACATGAGTTGCTGTGGATTTGTTTCTCCAAAGTACCTAGACTAATACAATTGGTATTTAAGAAATGCCACCAAATACAAATCTAACGAGTTGAAAAGCTTTGGGGAATGCGGTGCACCTGAGACAAGCCATGGTGGTATTTTCAATCACCTCTTACGCATTTGAAAGTTGCACGCTGAGCAGGAACACTGAAAAAGGTAATTCAGCAGTGTCGTCGCTCTAGGTTGTCTAAAGCTCCCAGCCTCCTCTTCTTCCCTTTGGTTGCCCCACTCATTCCCTCGCCCCGTGGAAGACGGCCTTTTCCGCTGTCTTGGAGAACGTGCCCAGTAGGGGAATGGACTCAGGGCTTGGGGGGTGTTAGTTACCTGGATAAAATTGCTCTCCAGCATGGGAGGGGAGATGAACGGGGGGTACTCTCCTCCATTCATCATGTCTTGAAGATTCCCTGGACCACGCGGCGACAGTGGGCGGCAGAGGGCGTCTTGCTCGCTGGGTTTCGGGGTAGATGTCCTGCTGTTCTTCTTCATTGTGCTTCGGTGAAAACACAGAGGGTGGAGGGGATGGAAAGAGAATTCATGCATATATAGTTTCACACAATCGTTGAATTGCCTCACTCACTCACTGACCTGGAGCCCAGCCTCTTCTTCCCTTTGGTTGCCCCACTCATTCCCTCGCCACGTGGAAGACGGCCTTTTCCGCTGTCTTGGAGAACGTGCCCTAGTAGGGGAATGGACTCAGGGCTTGGGGGGTGTTAGTTACCTGGATAAAATTCACCAACTCTGTGTCAGAGAGGTGGGGACCCAAATGGCAAGTCATCACGCTTGTCTATGTGCATAGGTTTTTTTCTCCTGAGTCCAGCTGACAGTACGCGGGGAAGATGCCTTCGCTGAAGAATGCGGAGACCATGATGCCCGCCCGCCCGCCTGCCTAGGAGCAGATGAGACTGGGGTGCCGGCAGCCTAAGCCATCTCATTAGATTTTTTTCATTTCAGCACATTTTACATGTGTGCAAATGAGAAAGTGAAATGAATCAAGGGGAGGAGAAAGGTGAATTTTGGCGAGAAGCTAAAATGTGAAAAGGGGAATGAGACAATACGAAAGATCCTTCAGAAAAAAGAAAGGAGGGAAGGGAGGAGGCACAGAGGCAGGCAGGCAGGCAGGCAGGCAGGAAGGAAAGAAATCGAGAAAACAACAACCTGAACCAGACGGGATGGGCATAACCGCCAGCAGCCTTCCCGAGCGCGGACTTTGTGGCAGGCAGGAAAGGCGCTACATGCACGCACTCATTTCATCCTGGCTTTACAGACCATGTGAGAGATGGAAAGTGATTGCGCCAAGGTCGCACAGCTACGAATCACCAAGCTATGGTTCAGATCCTCATAATCTGAAGAGAGGAGTTTATGTGAGCCCCATTGTTCAATATGGCTGCTTGGAAAGATAGGTGTGAGATGTGGCATAGGTAAGAGGGGCCACACCAGGCCCAGGGGGATGGGGAACAGAAGGAAAGGGAGGACAAGAAGGCTGAAAGTGCCCTTCCCTTTTGCCTCCTCTTCCCTGCCTGAGCAATTCAGTCCTAAGTGCGTTTGAGTCTGTGCTGGGAGAAGTGAGGAGCCACAGGTCAGAGCAGGGAGAAGGGAGGAGGCCATGGATGCTGGGGAGAGAGGACGGGAGCCTGTGGAGCCCAGGGTCCCAGCAGAGTCAGGAGGGAGTCTGCTGGAGACAGGATGGTGGAAGAGGTGGGAGACTGATGAAAGAAATTGGGAAATGATGAAACTCTATGGAAACTCACGGGGGCACTTCTACCCTCCTCAACAGGGTCGCTCTGAGTTGGCAGCCAGTTTGGCTTGAGGTCTGGGGCTCCTGGGTGGGGGAAACAGTAACTTGGATGCTCATGGCAAGGTTAGCAGAGAGGCCTGTGCATCTACTTCAGAAACTGCAGCTCCGAAAACCCTGCTGAGCACGGGTCTCCTCTGAGCTGCGAAGTTGGTCAGCTGTTGGAAGTGACTCCCCCTCCTCCCTTTTAACCCTTTTGTGGCACTTTCTCCACATGTCATACAATTCAATAATCAATCATATCAAGAAGAGTTGTACAATCATTACCACAATCAATTTTAGAACATTTTTCTTCCTTGCACTCATTGTTATTCGTGTAATTATTTTTTTTTAGTTGTGGCAAAAATATACTCAACATAACACTCTCCAATTCAACAACTTCTACATGTATAATTCAGTGCCATTGATTATACTCTTCATGTTGTACAGCGGTTATTGATAACGTTTTCCCAATTATTCCACCACCATTAACATAAACTCAATACCTCCTAAGCAAAAACTCGTCCTCCTCCACCCATGGTAACCACTGGTCAAGATTGATTTTTTTTTCTTTTTTCAGTACTTTTCTTGGTATAATATTCACATATCATACACTTTCATAGTAAAAGTGCTTTTAAAAAGAGTTGTATATGCATCATCATACTCAGTTCTAATGCTCCCTTGGATGTGACTTTTGAAGACAGATAGATTGGTTGGTTGAATGATACTGATATAAATAAATGGATTGAAAGTTTGATGAGGAAAAGGATATTTCCCTAGTTTCAAAGTCCTCCCACCAACCTACTTATTCATTTCAAAAAAGCCAAATAGATACCATCTTCATTCAGTGATAAAGATGAACATCCCCAGGCCAGATCAAAAGCATGCACCACCTGATAGGACGCAACGAGAAGTAGACAACATCCCATTCTGGGACATCCCTCCCAAACATGCGTGCCCGGAATCGAAACTGAGGGACATTCTAATAAGTAATGAGCCTATGATCTTAGAAAATAAAAAAAACAACAAAACCGACAGGAGAACGGCTACCAACTGAAGAAAACTCAAACAACAAACAATAAAAACCTCCCTGCCTATAATCGTATCAGCCGTACAGGGCAGAGTAGAACTGCTCCTGTGGGTTTCTGAGCCTGCAAATCTTTACAGGAGCAGACAGCCTCAGCCTTCCGGGCGGTTCTGAGTGGCTGGGTGGTTCAAACGTGCAGTTCACAGCCTAACGTGTGAACCATCATGCCACCAGGAAGGAAACTAAAGAGGTATAAATTGTATTGACATGAATTGGCTGCTTTTGCTATGACTGCCATTTGGAGGACAACTTACACACTCTGAAGGTGGTCTCCTAAATATGGTGGCAGAGGGCTTATGCATTGGGCTCCCAACCTCACTGTCAGCAGTTCAAAACCACCAGCCACTTGGAGACAGACAGATGAGACTTCCTACTCCTGTGAAGAGTTACAGTCTCAGAAACCCACAGGGGCAGTTCTTCACTATCCTATAGGGTTGCTGTGAGTCAGATTTGATTCGATGGCAGTGAGAGTCTGCAATATTCCTTTCCTGATTCTGATGGTGGTATATTAGTTATGTAAGAGAATGTTCTTGGTTATAGGGAACACAAACTAAATAATGTGGGGGTAAGAGATCATCAAATGGGCAAATTACTCTAGAAAGTTTCTGGGAAGAAAGTTAGTTGTACAGTAAGTGATTTTTTTTTTCTGTAGGCTTGAGGTTATTTCAAATAAAATTAAAGTGGAATAATATCACAAGAAAAGTGGGGGTAAAAGGTTTAGAGGAGAAGCACAGAGGAAGTATTGGATAGGCAGGGTCTAAGTTTGGAGAGTGAATGTAGAAAGCTGTATTTAGCTACTTGAAGTTCCCAAGCAAGGAACTTTATAACAATGGACGAAGTTGCACCGGGATTGGAAGATTAGGTGGGAAAGGCACAAAATGGCGGCATGGTCATTTGCTTTTCTTGCCTGAAGAACTCATTCAGGAGGACAAGGCATTTACTCGACCATCGCCTGGTGTTGAGAGACGATGAGGCTGCTTTACAGAACCAGGGCCCTCAGCCAGGGCTCAAAAGGTCAGTTGGCTACTTTGGGGGCTGAATAGATGAGCTCTTCCTTGGAAGGGAGAAAACAAGATGGGAAAATAATTAGATGAGAGCTAGGTATGATGCAGGAGGTAAAGTAAAGGTCATCTGCCCTTTGGCTCAGGGTTCAGAGCAGGACCAAGCAGGATCACCCACATGGTTCACCCTTGGTTTTCCCAGCACAGTTTGCTCCTTCTCAGTTCACATGCCTCCTCTTGAAACCGAGACAAATTGCGCACTGTCGGCAGTCTCCTTGGTCCATTGAGCTCCCAGGAGAAAGGACCAGGAAAGCTTGGAAAATGAGTGAAGTAGAAGAGGAGGGCAAGGGAAGGACAGGCAGAGGGAAGGAGAAGTGTGATGACATAGCGGATGTACCACCATGTCTTACCTAACCTCTGGGCCAGGCCGCAATCTGCTCTTGAAGACGACGTTTCTCACTCACTCCAGTTTCGCTTTCCTCCTTTTCATGATGAGGTCTCTTTGAAAGAAACATAGAAAATGAAGAGTGTACAAAGGAAGCTAATTTCCTTATTAATATTTCCTCTTTTATTGCAAACACGAGGCGCCTGCCTTAGAAATAGCTCCTCTACTGACTAAACTAGTGGGGTCATGTGGAGTCAGAGGGCTGCTGTGTGTGCATGTGTGGGCGGACCTGTTGTCCATGATCCTCAGCATGGTCTTCGGGTGCCTGGAATCAGACAAATAGTTAGGACTCCGTAGATTGCAATCTGAAAAACTAGCGAGCAAACCCAGGGCCGGCAAGCCCATTTGGACACATGGTGGCCCCTTTTGTTACAGAGTAGAGCTGCACCACAGCTTTTTCTTGGCTGTAATCTTTTTGTAAGCAGACCACCAGTCTTTTCTTCCTCAGTACTACTGGGTGAGTTTGAACCTCTAGATTGGTAGTTGGCACCACCCAGGGACCGTCCAGAGATCTAGTTAGCTAAGAACTGTCAGTGAAGTCTTGGCTCCCTAGAGTCAATGGGGACATTCAGCAAATTGACAAAAGAATGATGTAGACCCAACTCTCTTGTGCGCAATGGGTCACACAAAGCCTGAGAATTGTTTTCTTCCCATAAAAATCCAGAGTGATCTACGTAATTCTAACTTCCTAGCTGAGAGTAAACAAATAAACTCACTGCCACCCAGTCGATTCTGACTCATAGGGACCTTCTAGGACAGGGTAGAACGGCCCTGGTGGGTTTCTGATAGTGTCATGGAAAGCCTCATCTTCTCCCATGGACAATGCTGACCTTGTTGTTAGCGACCCGGCACTGACCCTCTGGGCCACCAGGGCTCCTTAGCTGATAGTAGGTAGGTGCACAGATGTATCTGCTTATACATGCATATGCTTCTTCGTTTGTTACTTTTATACAATTCTCAGATCATAATATGATTGCAGTCACTGTAGTCAATTTCTCCCCCCACCACTTGTGAGTTAAATAACCCCTCAGAGACACGTGGCCCAGGTGAACAACTGAGCACTGCTGTGAGAACTCAAGTGTGGGACTGGAATCGTGGGGACATACTGGACCCCAGGGGCAGATACAACGGGCTTCATAGTTAACCTCTGCTACCTGCTACTTCTGTACCTAGTAAGTCACTTACACATCTCTCGCCTCAATTGCCACATTATGAAACAAGGTTGAGGGGCGCTGTGATGACGAAGCGTGAGAACGTGTGGAAGAACAACGAGCGTGGTGGCCGTTCCACAGTGGAGACTTGACTGGTAGCCGAACAGGATCGCTGTCCGGATAGGTGGCCTGCGACTCACCCGGTGTTGGCAAGTACAACACACCCGGCAGCTAGTTTCACATTACCCACATTTCATCCATGAACTTTACAACAATGGACAAATTTGCATGGTGATTGGAAGATTGTGGGGGTGGGGTGGGGGGAAGCACAAAATGGGGCATAGTCATTTGCTTTTCTTGCCTCAAGAATCGCCCAGGAGGACGAGGCATTTACTCGACCATCAGCTGGTGTTGAGAGACAATGAGGCTGCTGACGGAACCAGGGCCCTCAGCCAGGGCGCCAACGGCCAGTCGGATACTTTGGGGGTCCTTTTCTCTCTCTCAGCTGACTCAAACCAACACTCCAACACACGGCCAAAGAGTCAATTCTTACTCACAGAGACCCTCGGAGGACAGGGATTCTGAGGCTGTAAACCTGTCCCAGGAGCAGAGAAGTCTCATCTTTCTGTCATAGGGCAACTGGGGGGTTTGAACTGCTGACCGGGTCCTTAACAACTCACCCACACAACCCTCTAAGCCACCAGAGCTCCTTCCACTTAAAACCCCCCAAACTCATTGCTATCAAGTCAATGCCCACTCATGGCCACCCTCTAGGACAAGGTAGAACTGCCCCTGTGGGATTCCAAGACTGTCATTCTCCATGGGAGCAGGAAGCCCCATCTCTCGCCCTCACTCCTTCAGTTTAAGGACTCTGAAACAGCAGGCGCCTGGCACTCGCTCTCAGCTGGCTGGCCACCGGGGCCCAGGAGGCCGTGGGCTGTGTGTAGGGGGAGGGGCCATTGCACTGTGATGGTCATTGGTTACTCATTTCTTATTCACAGGAAATCACGTGCACTGATTGTACTACGTGTGGCATTTAACTGCCATTGAAAGACGTTCCTAATGGTTACCTGAAAACCTTTTGCTGACACCTTCTGGTAAGATTAAGAACATTCCAGTAACACCTTTCAAAATGCATTCCAGAGGAATGAAGTGGAGTGAAGCACTCCACGCTGTTCGCTCCCACCCCTAAAAGCACCCCTCCCTTGAGCAGTCCGCAGACAGTCCCCAGGGCGGGTGGGCAGGCGGGCAAGCCCGGCCTTTGTGACTCTGCAGCCCCTCTCTCGCCGTTGTGAATCTGCAGCTGAGGAGCAGAAAGCGGAACAGGCTCTTCCACGAAGCAACCAGTGTGATGTTTTTGGCTTTCTAAAACACTTATTTGGACATTTTTGGAGTGTTGTGCATAAATGGTAAACACTTGCTGCATTTTGACTGCTCTTGTGATTTGAGATGCTCCCACCCCTCTTCCAGCCCCAGCTTCTCCAAGGATGATGGCTGATTACAGAAAAAGTCAAGTCTGGATTAGAATGCACAGTGGTTTTTCTTCTCGAATATTTTAATTGACATATCTTACTCAATCCAATATAACCCTTCCCTTCCCATAGTTCTGTTGTGCCATCCCATCTGGTGGGGCTATACAATATCACCAATGCTGTCAACTCCTCTCTCTCCCCACTTCCCATGCCCTCAGGGAATCCTTACTGCGGTCAGTGCCTCTGAGGTGTCATCTATCTTGACTACCATGTACCGAGCGATCTTAAATGAACAAATGAACATACACAAGTCTAACATGACCAATGAGGTATATCATGTATGGACCGCAGTAGTAAGGGGAGGAAATCTTAAAGAACCAGAGGATAGTTATGTGGTTCATCAGTGCCACACTGCACCCTGGATGAATCTCCTCCATTCCGTGGGGCCCTACTAAGAGGGACTGTCCAATTGTCTTGCTGGTGGACTTTGGGTCTCTACTACATTCAGTTCCCTCATATCAATTTGGATGCCTGTCTTTTGAACTGTGATACCTCTTCCCATCAACACCTCATGATCACACACACTGGTGTGCTTCTTCCATGTGGGCTCTGTTGCTTCCCTGCTAGATGGCTGCTTGTTTCATGCCACGCCTTTAAGACCTCAACATGATAGCTTTTGATAGCCAGGCATCATCCGCTTTCTTCACCACATTTGCTTATGCACCTGTTTTGAATTCAGCGATCTGTCACGTTATTAGAACAAACCGTTCTTGTACATAGGTAAGATTTAAGTAGAGGCCCAAAGTCCATCTGTTTCCTTGTTGCATTTATATATATAAGCATACACAAACAAATACACACACCTTCACATATGCATATTTATATATATGCATATATATATATATATAGGGTTTTGTTTTTTCGTTTTTTCCTCCTACCCCACTGTTTTGCTTACCTGTCATTCACCTCTCGGTAAGTCGATTGATTAAACACACCCAGAAAAGCTACACCCTCCTTGAGGTCCCTTTTAAGAATGCATAGTTCTTAAGACATCGGAAGGGTGTTGTGAAATCAATTTGGCTACACCCTTCCCCCACTACTATACTCTGTCAGTGGCCCCCAAAGATTAACTTTAAAATGGACTTTTCCTAATGCCTCTCTTAAGTACCTGGAGACAGTATTAAAGTTTTGGTAGGTATATAACATGGAACATACAACAGAGAATATGACACACACATATTATACTCCTTCAAATAGTTATTTCATCTATACAATGTTATGGGGGAACAAATAGATATTCAAATATACACACAAATACATTTGCATTAATTCAGATGTCTATATGAATATTTCTCCATAACCCTACATATTTTAAAAAGCCATCACAGTGTGGCACTAACTATTGGGAGCAGCACAGTGTATTGTGAGATGTACCAAAGTTAATTGTGTTCCATAGTTAAACTAATGTTTGAGGAAGAAATTTTCTTTTATTTTTTTAAACCTTTTATTGTGTATTGGATGAAGGTCTACAGAGCAGGTCATAGTTTTAATCCAACATTTTGTACACCTTCTGATGAAATTCCCTCATTGCAATCCCCCGATGGTCTGTCCCCTCTCTCCTACTTCCATGCCACCTTCTTTCCATGCCCTCAGCTTTGTCCTTGGGCAAACGATGCCCCTTTGCTCTTAAAGGGTAGGTGACCAGTTCTAGACCCGGAGGGTTAAGGTCAGCCGGGTCTCTTTTATGATTTTGAGTTCTGGTCCACACTTTTCTCCTACTCTAGCATACACAAACAGAAACCTCACGGTTATGAGGTCAGCTACAGGATGCTGCTGCAGGGAACATACAAAGTTGAGCTTTCCCGTCCCCAGCATGCTCAATTGTAATAGACAGACGCAGCAACTGACAGCGCTCATATTGGATCCCTGACATGCGAAGTCAGGGCTATTGTGGTAGGAACAGCCAAATGGAAGTCATGATAACTGTCCCAACCTAGGACCCCAGGAGGCAGCACTGCGTTCTCAGTGGAGTTGCAGCGATGGTTGTTGCTAGGTGCCCAGGAGTCAGTTCTGACTCACAGTCACTCTATGTGTGAGAGGGTACACCCCCAAAACAACCGGATTTCTTCAAAGCCATGTATTTAAATGTTTGTTACAAAACAACTGTATCACTTTCAGTGCTCTCCATTACACTTAATACATTTGTCAACTCTTCAATTCCATTCTTGGAAACATTTTTTCTAACTCATCTGTTTGGATGGTTGACAGCACCTCCCTTGTTTTTCCTTCACCTCTTCTACATGTCAAATCTCTGTCCCTTCATGTCCCTCTTTATTTGCAGAAACAAAAAGAAGTTGCATGGAGTGAGGTCAGTTGAGTAAGGTACATGGGGCAAGAGAGGTATGCTGTTTTTTGCCAAAAACTGGTGCAGAGATGGCTACGTGAGCAGGTGCATTGTCGTGGTGGCAAAACCAGTCGCTTGTCAGGCACAAATCAGGCCTTTTTTGGGTTGCACATCATTACGCAGTCTTTCCAGAACCTTTAAATAGAAAGCTTGACCTGGTGGAATGAACTCCAAATGCACTATCCCCTTCACATTAAAAATAATAATAAGCACTGGTTTTTTGAGGGGTACCCCCTCATCCAACGGAACTAAACACCCTGTTCTGCACCTTCCTCACAATTGTTCTTATGTTTGAGCCCAATGTTATAACCACTGTGTCAATCCATCTCATCCAGGCGCTCTTTGTCACTGGCCCTCCACCTGACTGAAGATGGTATTCTTCTCCAGGGACTTCGTCTCTCCTGACAACATGGCCAAAGTACATGAGGCGAAGTCTCACCATCCTTGCATCTAAGGAACATTCTGGCTGTACTTCTTCCAAGTCAGATCTGTTTGCTCTTTTGGTAGTCCATGGTACTTTCAATATTCTTTGACAATATCAGAGTTCAAATGTATTGATTTTTCTTTCATATTCTTATTCAATGTCCAACTTTCACATATATATGAGGCAATTGAGGCAATATGAGGTGCACCTTAGATCTAAACAAAAATCCTGGCTTTTCAATATTCTAAAGAGCTCTAGTGCAGCGGATTTACCTAACACAATGCATCATTTGATATCTTGATTGTTACTTCCATGAGCTTTGATTGTGGATCCAAGCAAGATGAAATTCTTGACAGCTTCAATATTTTCTGCATCTATCATGATGTGGTCCAGTTGTGAGGATTTTGATCTCCTTGACGCTGAGTTTAATCCATACTGAAGGTTGCGATCCTTGATCTCCACCAGCAAGTGCTTCTGGTCCTCCTCACCTTGAGCAAGCAAGGCTGTGCCATCGCAGATTGCAGATTGTTAACAAACCTTCCTCCAACTGATGCCACATTCTTTTTCATATAATCCAGCTTCTCTGATTATTTGCTTAGCACAAAAGTTGAATAAGTATGGTGAGAGTGTACAACCCAGAACCCACATCTTTCCTGATTTTAAACTATGCAGAACAAGTATTTCCTTGTTCTGTTTGCACTACTGCCTCTTCCACGAGCACAATGAAATGTTCTGGAATTCCAACTCTTCTCAAAGCTATCAATAGTTTGTTATGATCCACACTGTCTATGCCTTGGCATAGTCAATGAAACACAAGTAAACATCTTTCTGGTATTCTTTCCTTTGAACCAAGATCCATTGACATCAGCAATGATAAGCTTTGGTCCACATCCTCTTCTGAATGTCCTAAACCTCTGGCAGCTCCCAGTCAATGTACTGCTGAAACCATTGTTGGATGATCTTCAACAAAATTTCACTTGCATGTGATATCGGTGATACTGTTCTATAATTTGAGCATTCTTATGGGTCACCTTTCTTTGGAATGGGTACAAATATGGATTTCTTCCAATAAATTGGCCAAGTTGTCTTCCAAATCTCCTGTCACAGACGAGAGTACTTCCAGTACTTCCTCAGCTTGTTGAAACATTTCAGTTGGTTTTCCATCAATCCCCAGAGCCTTGTTTTGAGCTAATGCTGTCAGTGCAGATTAGATTTCTTCCTTCAGTACTATTGGTTCTTGCTCATTTGCTTTTTCTTGAAGTAGTTGTATTTTGACTAGTTATTTCTGTTACAGTGACTCTGTGTATTATTTCCATTTTCTTTTGATACTTCCTGCACCTTTCAAGATTTTGCCCATATAATCTATGTTGCAACTTGAGGCTTGCATTTTCCCTTGTCTTTAGTTTCCTCCTGTCTTCATGAGCCTATGTTCTGTACATCTAGAGGTCTTAGCTCCAATGGGAGGAGGGCTTCTATCAAGAGACACAGCACTGGCTCCGTTTAGCTGGAAGTTAAGTTACTTTGAGCTAACATGCCTCTAAATCAGTAGGCCAAGAAGGGAGTTGGCTGATTGATTGGTTCTGATTGATACTATACAACGGAGGTAAAGAAGAGTATTTCTGGACCAAACAGACTGTCTTTGAACTACCATGACTAATGATTAAAGTCAATGGAGCATGATCACCATCCAATTCCAACATGATACTAATGATGGTCCAGACTCTTCAGGACTGTGGTTCGGGGATCACTCTACCAGGCAAAGAGCTAAGACTAGCTGAGGTGCTTGCTTCGGGAAAAACTCAGGAAACCAAACTGTGGTCTTCTCAATCCCTAGAAAGGGAGACTCTCTATACATCGGGGCTGGGAGATCGAAGAATTGACCTGGAGTCAATCTGAGAAGCCTCATTTTCTTGGCTTATGGGTAGCACTTTTTTGCATCTTCCAGCGAGTGGCTGGCAGGACAAGAGAGTTTCCATAAGGGGTCGAGGGTTGATCTGGGGCTCTTTTATCCTGGTAGTGAGCCAGATGGGGCAGGGGTGGGGCTATTGAAATGTGTTAAAACTTTCCGCGTCCATAATGCGAATATACCCCAAACTCCTTGGCCCCTGGCTATCTGTGGGGGAAGGGTATCATTCAGGTGGACAGAAGGACACATGGGGAATGACTGCTTCGTTGCTATGGTCATTTTTGGAGCAAAAACTCATGTCGTTCACAAAGTCACTGTCCTCAAATAAATTCTGGCTCAGAGTGGCCTTTTGGACAGAGACTTGGCCCTGTGGGTTTCCGAGGCTGCAGGTCAGTCCAGAGTAGACGCCTCATCTTTTCCCCTCAGAGACCGGTGATTTCAAACTGTTCACCTTGTAGTTCGCAGCCCAGCATGCCACTAGGGCTCTCTTGCTGAATGGAAACGTAAACTCACTGCCATCGATCAGATTCTGACTCAAAGTGATCCAATGGGGCAGGGTAGACTTGCCCTCATGAGTTTTCTGAGACCAAATCCTTAGGGGAGTAAAACGCTTCCCATTTCTCCTGTGCGGCGTGGAAAAGGAGTGCTAAAGGGGTGGTGGGAGAAGGTCGTTCTCAATATTCGCTTCAACCATGCAAACAGCAGTAGTAATTACTCAAAAGTCAGTCACTGCCATAGCAGTCGGTGTCAATCCATAGCGACCCTTCTTAGTAGGAAGGAGCCAGACGGGGTGAGCAAGACGGAAAGGGAATCCCTGACACTCAAAGGAAGCACGCTTCTCTCTCCTTTCTCACAGCCCACTCATTAGCAGCTCCTTCCTTTCCTCCTCCCCCTCTTCCTCCTCGTCTCCCTCCCCCTCCCCCTCCCTATGACCTTTGCTTCCATTCTTTAAGCTCTCCCCAACCCCTCCTCTAGCCGTCCTCCCTATTCCTTGTACTGAAATGTCTTTTATTTCTCTTTCTACCCCACCACTCAACAGTTAACCCCCAAGCCAAATGCAACTCGCTGCCATCGAGTGGATGCGGACTCTTAGCAACAAGAGTGGAATGGTCCCCGTGAGTTTCCCCCACGGAAACTCTTGATGGGATACCACCTGGGTGCCGCACGGAGCCGACCACCCTGCCACACCGGGACGTGAAGAAACACACACACACACACACACACACACACACACACACACACGATAAACAGGCCTAAACGACCTAAAAGAAAGGTATGCAAGAACAGACGATGGGATCACGGGAAAAGCAAGCAGGAGGAGGAGGAGGAGGATTGCGCATGTCCCACAGACGCGCAGACATTGCGCCCTGGTGGCTCGAGAGGCCGACGAGCCTGTCCTGCCCCGCTGCAGGTCCCGTCACTTACAGCGAGGCGACGCTGACCGAGCTCTCGGGGAGGTCCCGACACCTGGCTGGAGCACAGTCTCCAAAGAGCACGTCCCGCTCTGTTCACATTGCTTTAGCGGAAGATGTTGCCGTCCACCGGGCAGGCAGCTAACCACTTAGTGAAGGACGCTTTTTTTTGGCGGCGGCCGCAGGCATTGTTCTCTCACGTCACACTGTGCTGACGTCACCTCTGACGTCAGAAGAGACCTCCGCGAGGGAGCGCCCGGGCAGCCCTGAGGCGGAACGCCGCCCGCCCGGTTCTGCAGAGCCGCACGCTATAGCGACCAAGGTGCGCTTCCATGGGCGTTTCCTTGGCAGGCTTCTTTGGGGAGAAAGCTCAGCGGAGCAATGGGGGCCACCCTGGAAAGAGACCTTCAGTCTGGCCGAACCTGAAACCCCAGCCATGTACACACCAAATCACATGGAACTCCTGTGAAGAAAAGCTTCGAAAGCATGTCGTGCTTACGAGGGTAGCGCCCTCTTCTCCTTAGCTTCATACTGCAGCCTCGGGGATTCTGGACACGCGCCACAGCGGACCCTCAGCGCTGGCTTTCTGGACGAATCAGGATACACAATACACCGTCTCCTCTCTCTGAGCCCCGGCGATGCAATGGTTAAGCAGTCAGCTGCTAACTGAAAGGCCGTGGTGGGAACTGAACTGGGGGAGAAAGGTGCGCCCCCAAGATGTCAGCGTGGGGAGCCCATGGGGCAGTTCTATTCCGTCTGTCCTGGGCCTTGGGAGTGGAATCTACACCACAGCACCCAATAGCATCCGCTCGGGAAGGGTTCTTTCTCTTATGGTTCTGCGATTAGGCCGCCTTCACCTTCCTGTGCTTCTAGTACATTCTCCTCTTCCCTAAGCTATAGCGTCCTTCTTCATCTCGGCTGGTTAAGTGCTGGTTAAGAATTGGAGGCGCCCATGTCTGACTCTTGCCGTGACGATGGCCCACGAGGATGGGCAACCTCAGGGGATACTGTGTGAACCACTCAGGGTGGCGTTGCCTTGCAGAACTCACATCTGGGTCAACATACACAAGATTCAAACCCTCGCTTTTGAGAGGACCCAGACAAAGTTTTGATCTCTGAATAAACAATTTACCAGAGTTTTTAGAGGATGGTAGTGCTCCTATTTGCTCTAAGAATGATAACTTCTACCAGTAACAAGGGAGTAACAAGGGAGAGGCACATCCTGTCCCATAGGAAGCGCAGTGGGCAGTTTGCTCAGAAGTGGTTGAGATGTGAATGTATAGCTGGAGAGTGAGCTCAGGGAGGACTTCAGAGAGCACAAGAAGTGTGACTCTAAGAAGCTCAGTCCCAGAGTCTAAGCCAGGTGCCCTCTTTCAAATGGGCAGATCCTTCCTCCAATCAGAAGCACCCTTGATGATGTTTCTGACGTGCTATGGCAGCAGTTCTCAACCTATGGGGTGTGTGTCAAACGACCCTTTCATAGGGGTTGCCCGATTCATAACAGCAGCAAAATTACAGTTATGAAGTAACAATGAAAATAATTTTGTGGTTGGGGGAGTCACCACCACATGAGGAACTGTATTAAAGGGTCACAGCATTAGGAAGGTTGAGACTTACTGCACTATGGTATTCAACATTACACTTGATCTTAGTCAAAGGCTAAGTTAACAAACGATGGATAACCTTGAGAAGAATGGGAATCCCAGAACACTTCATTGGGCTCATTATGAACTTGTACGTGGATCAAGAGGCAGTTGTGCAAACAGAACAGGGAAAGGTGCATGGTTGGAGTCAGAAAGGTATACATCAATGTCAGGGTTGAACCCTCTCACCACACTTATTCAATCTGCACACTGAGCAAATCATCAGAGAAGCTGGATTATATGAAGAAGAATTCGACATCAGGATGGGAGGAAGGCTTATTAACAACACAACCTTGTTTGCTTGTTGAAAGTGAGGAGGACTTGAAGCATTTGCTGATGAAGATCAAGGTTATAGCCTTCAGTGTGGATTATGACCAAATGTAAAGCAGACAACAGTTCTCACAACTGGACCAATCGGTAACATCAACATAACGAGGGGGGGTGGGGAGTTAAGGATTTCATCTTGCTTGGATCCACAGTAAATGCTATACTCTTTCTTTATCACCTCACTTCCATATATTAACGTTAAGTGGTATATTTTAAAAAAGAAGAAACAACAAACCAGGACTGTAAAAACCATGACACATTAAAAAGTCTTCCCTTTAAGATATTGGTGCTTTTTAACATGCACAGAATATAAAACCATATATCTTACCTCATTTGAGCCTGGATTTGAGGGCCTCTATCGAAGCAGGGTCTATAACCCATTATCCCCCCATGAGCTGTGCCCTGCTCGTTCATGCCTGTATGGGGTTCTCTTAGCTGCATGTTCTAAGCAGCTAAGAGATATGAAGGTTTCCTGCTGAGCCGAGTCTCTGGCTTCATGGTGATGGTCTGTGAGGGCAATTCTGTGGGTCAGTTTAGTCATAAGTACCATAAGTCATAAGGCCACTCCAGAGCTAGAGACCAAGGCAGGGCAGTGGGAAAGGAAAGGAGGGGTTTCATTTAGAAACTGTTAGTCAGTGGCGTTGACAGGACTTGGTGACTAACTGGAGGTGGGAGTGAAAGGTCAGATGCCTCAAAGGTTTCTGGTTTGGGCAACTAGATGAATGGGGGCCACTAATCAGGAAACAAGGGGTCAGCCAAGGAGCATGCGTAGGCTGGGAGAAGGAGCTCTTTGTTTGGGGAAGCCTTTGTTTAGTATGGAGCTCTGGAGTCAGTAGGTGTTGAGTAAATTATTTTTTCTTCTTAAACCTTCAGTGGCTTCCCTATGCTCTTAGGTGCCATATGGCATTAATGTGTATGTATTTAATATTTCACTTGCAACCAAAGAACACGCCTACTGCCATCAAGTGAATTCCAAGTCACAGCAACCCTATATAGGGTTCCTAAGGCTACCAGTTTTGATGGAATGGATAGATTCATCTCCCCCCAGGGAGTGGTTGGTGGGTTTGAACCGTCAAACTTGCAGTTAACAATTTGAAACTTACTTGACAGCAACCCCAGAACTCCTCCTATTTCACTGGAGAGCCTGTATACTTGAGAGTTTGGCCTGGCTCCATCCTGGCACCAGTACCCTCCAACTATCCTATAAACCACTTTTTCCCAATCACACATCTACCTCCTTTCAGATGTACGCTTCAAGCCTTGTTTTGTGACGGGAATTCTCTTCTCCCAACTCGGCTGTGTGGCTTGTTTTCATTCTTCAGATCTCAGCTAACGTATCATCTGTTGAGCCTTTTCTGGATCACAGAGCCACTTAACAAGCGATCACCTCTCAGATCCAAATTCACCATCTGTATACTCTGCTTTGTGAGGCTGGGCTGGAACTCTGCAAACGATATTTTTTTTCCTCTTTCATCAGCTGGGTTCCTGTTAGGTGCAATACTACATTGCGTTAGACTAGGGTCCCGGGAAGCAGGAGGGAAAGGGCGCTGTATTCCTTATCGTTTCCTGTTGTCAGTGTTGCCCTGGCAGTGGCAGATTGTCTTTTGGCATGCTGAGTCAGCAGGTGACGGTGTCTCCCCCATATTAACCTACTCTCTCTTGATCTCTTTTTTCACTAGCACCTCCCCTCCCCCTCTAGCCTTAGTGTGGTGGGTGGCTTGGCTGTTGCTTCCTGTAGTTATTATCTCTGTAGTTATTATTATTCCATTTTGCTTTTCTAGACCCCCTCACACCTATTTCATGTTTTCCTATATTGTCTTTGTTAGTTGCAGTTGCGTCCCCTCATGTACAACAAGATGAACTGTTACCTGATCCTGGGCCAAGGTCAAGATCATTGGTATGTTTAATCCCATTGTGTCAGTCCATCGCATGGAGGGTTTCCTGGGCTTCGCTTTACCAAGCATGGGTCCTTCTCCCGCATTTAAGTTCTCGTGATGCATCCAAAGTAAGTGAGTCCTTGTCTCAGACAATATACGTTGGCCCATATGGCCTTTATGACCTGATTTGGGGAAAAGATCATTATATTTTTCATCCTAGTCTACGGGGTTCACTGAAACCTGTCTATGATGAGTTACTGTGACAGTATTTGAAATAACTTCTAGTATTGTAGGAACACAAAAGCCGTCACAATAAGACAAAGTGATTGATGGGTTGGTGGATTCATATAATAAAGCCCCTGTTGAAATACTTAGTGTGGTTTTTGCCTTAAAAAACAAAACAAAACACTGGCCCCTGACCCAGCCATGACTAAAGTAGGCATTTGCCTGGTTACTCTCTCACATGGTTTTGCATTTCCTGCACAGCCTGCCTTCCTTACCTGGATAACAGAGTTTGTCTACTCATCACCAGATCCTCGGTGCCTAACATGCTCCCTGGTGTAGGGTAGGTGTTCACCTGAGGCTTCTGAAATGAATGAGTGAATTATTACCAAAGTCTAGAGGCGATACTGTCCATATAAAATGGCCATGACTGATCAATTTTTTTAAGTCTTTGGTTCAAGCCCAAGTTGTCATGTGTTAAGACTATTGATGAATTCACTGAGCATGTAATTCTTAGAAACCGAAAGTTAAGGGCTTTTTATAAGTAGATTAGTGTGCATGCATTTTTTTAACCTGTATGCACCATCGTTGGGTTAGGAAGAGACTTTATTTGCTTTGAATTCAGTACTCACATAAGCTACCCATTTTTAAAACTTGTAATAATAATAACAATAACACATGAGTAATTTCTTTTAGGTTAGGGGTGGGAACTGTCTGGCCCTCAGCTAGACAGGGACCACAAAATCATCAATCCTAACGAACATCACACGCCTCCCCAAAGGGAAGCAGTTTCAACCATCATATTAGGGTTCAGTTAATGAAATGTTTGACCAAATATAGCAAGCTAATTTTTAAATTGGTAGTTTGATATGACCTGTGAATGATGTTTATAAATATCCAAATGGCCGTTGGCAGAAAACACCTGTTATAGGAGGTTCTGCACAAGGCTGGCCCCGAGGAGGTGGAGGTTAAAAAACTACCACATCTCTACTTTTCGAAAGTGCTGTACCACTCCATCCTCTTCGAGATCCACTAACACACCTCCCCTT